TGTAACTGAATGTCTTGCATTAGCTGTAGGCTTCCATGGATTCTTTTGTAGGGAAAAGGAAGTGGTTATGATATGCACTGCTGCAGTACTCATAATGTTAGTATTCCTCAATTGAAAGGGATGCTTGTAACTTGGTTATGAATGTGTTTATTTAGATAAATATAACAAAGAAACATCTTATTTACTCTCTAGCTCATTCATTAGGGCAAGCAATTGCTAACTGTCATAAATAACAAACAACAGCAAATAACACAAGAAAAGGCTGTGTTGGAAGATGGGCAAGGTAATGGGACTAATGTTTTGAACCTCTAAAATATACTGGAAATAATTACATCTTAAATTTGCAACCTGAAGTTCTTCTGCACCTACCCAGCCAGTTTAATTCTGCTGTGCCTGGCTGAAGCTTTGCTGGAGGCTTTCTATCCTGTGATGACAAAGCATCTGCTGCTGGAAATGCAGTTCCAAGCAGCAACTCATGGGGCTGACCACGAACGATTCCCTCCATGGGCACTCCTCCTCTCCAGCCTGCTGCATTTGGAGCTCCCAGCTCTGTCTCTTTGCTTGGCTTCTTTTACAACATCCAGGGAAACTGAAGAGTTATTAAATTATTCCAGGAACCAAGCAATTCCCAGAATCACAATTGCTTTCAAATTCATGCATTTGTATAAAACTTGACAACTCCAGTGGGGCTTTTGTGAATCTTTTTCATGTGCAATCCCAGAACCAAATGGAAAGGTTACAAAAAGTTTGAAGTATTTCAATAATTGAAAAACAGCCTCCCTCATTGTGAGTGATTTGAATTTCCTCCAGCATTTTTGTACTTTCCTTTTTATTTTTGTAAGAATTTGGTTCTGGAAACTAGTCAAGTAGTACATGAATACAGGAAGCCAGAACATACTGAAAGTATGTAAGAGCCTGTGTTTTATAGGTGTCAGTTTGAAAAGGGTGTTTAAAGTTGGAGTGATTGCAAGAAATGTCTTAAGAAGTTTAAGGAAAAAAAAAAGCTGTGTGACTTGGCAGAGAGGAAAAAAGTACATTAGGAAACATTGCAAAAATAATATGATAATCCTACCAAAAAGACACTGCACTTGCAAAATAACTTTACAAGCTCCCAGTACTGCATTACAAATATTAAATTTCATGATACCCTAGTGAGAGCTATTAGATGCACTAGGGAGAATGCTGGAGTAGATACATTTAACTAGGAGGTGCTCAGAAATGCGGCCCCAGGAATGCTGGCTGAATTGCATGAGGGACTGAGCTAATCTGCATCATGCTGTTGCCTTGGGATCCCAGGGCTGAGGCATCACGCCTTCTGCAGTGCGCTTCCAGAAGTGTTTTTAGGCCAGTGGGGGTGAATCAGAGTTAATGGAAAGCCCAGTCCTGTGGGAGATGTTCAGCTCAAAAGTCCTGGAGCTGATCTGTGCCTTGTATTTTCCTGTTCATGAAATGTAAGCATGCTTTTTATAACACCTATGTGTGCTGCAGGAGCCGTCCTGGGCCAGTTCTGCTCAGCACCTTGAATTATGCTTCCTCCTTATCTGTGCTAAATGACTGCGTTGTTTCACTTGGAGAAATAACACTGGGTTGTGCTGAGTTTCCCATTATCTATGCCAGAATTTCTTTTGGTTGGTTATTACCCTCATTTAGTAACATACGTATAGAGATGCTAAATGCTTTGTGCAGTATAAATATACTTTCCACAGCATGAACTAATACACGATTCAAGTGGCATTAAAATGAAATGTTGTTTCAAATACCTATGTGCTATTTGAAAATGAGTGTGATAAAAATAATTTGGTACAAACTGCTCAGAGGATTGCACCTGTGTTTAAGGGGAAGCCCTCCTGGCATAGCGGGTCCTCGTGCCCATGCCCTGGGACAGGAGCACTGTGGTGCAGGTGGCCTCAGCGGGCTGCTCCTGCTGCAGGTTGGTCCATGAGTGCTGCTTCTGCACCACTCAACAGCTCTGGCCTGCTTCAGGGGCTGTCGTATCTGCTTTGTGTTTTCAGTACTGATCAGAGCCCTGCATTTCATCTCCAGTATTGCTCAATCATTTAGTTGCAGTGATGCAGCAGGAATTGGGTAAATACTCCTGATTCATAACACTTATCCAGTCATCATTTATCCTAGCCTTAGGATTGCTTGCAAAAAAAAAAAAAAAAAAAGCTGTATTACAGCTACTGCCAAATTTCAAGTAGTTTTGTCAGCTATTCTTTCCAAGCAGGCAGAAAGTCAGAAAAACCCCAACCTATGCCTTTAAGGCTTGTGAGGTCTTCCAAAATAGAAGACCCAAGGACTCTATTGCTAAAAGCTTTGCTGGGATCTGATGCCCAGTGCTGGGAAAGAGGGAGGAAAGCCCCACCAGGCAGGGCCAGCTGCCACCTATTGCAGCTTGCAGCCCAGGAATCTGCCTGGGACTGGGTCAGAGTTCACGTTACATTTAATCATCTTTATGATGCTAAATTGCATTAATTACTTATTAAAAATCAGTAAATGATTTTATGCAGGCAGTTGGTGTAACAAGGTGTTTCTTTTTCTTTGCAAACTGGTGAATCTTAACATTGGAATAATATTTTCCATGCTTCCCATTGGCTGCGTGCAGGGAATGCCTGTGTGTGGGGTGGGGGACCCTGCCTCTAATTTTAAGACAGAAAATCCTCACTCTCAGAGGACAGCAGCATGAGTATGAGTAGGGTTTCTCTATGAAAGGTGGCAGTAGGTTTTCCATGTTTCTTAGCTCTACTTGACTGCCCTATGCTTTTTGTAAGAAGTGAGACTGAAATAACACAATGGTCTCTATGATCTAGTTCATAAATAGAGTTCTAAAGCCAATTTTAAATATGATATGGATGTTACCAGGAATAGAAACTTCTCCTAGGAAATGAATGTCACTCCTCATCTGAGTCTATCCAGCAAATGTACCGTGAGTTTTCATTTCATAAGAGCGTAACTGGAGTCAGTTTACACTCATGCATTCAGTTACCATTTGCCCAGAAATGTACGTATGCAATGTGCAAGGAGTTAGGGGACAGACTGTATGGCTCCCAGTAATGTTAATGTGAAATGGAGCCCATCGGTCAGCTGCAGAGCTGTGTGCTCTCCTCTATGAGTTAGATTATTATAGCCAGGAAATGGCAGTTCTGCACCAGTTACTGGAGGACACAGTTACCTGAAAGTAACTTTACTCCATGAACTGGCTTCATTCTTAGGATTGTTGTAATGCAAGTCATTTTAGCTTTAATGATATATCCTATTGTATGTCTAGTAGCCACTCCATACCACATCACTCTTACTAAATCCACTACATCCTGTTCTAATCTTTAATTTCTTCAGGGTGAAGTCACTCTTCTTCAACATTGCCCTCTAGCTCTAACAGTTGCAGCTTTGAGTTTTACTTTGTCTGCCATCTCCTGCTTTCCTCCATGCAAACGCAGCTCCCCGTGGCTGCACAATGAAGGTGGATCTATCCTTGGGGGCAGGACAGCTGCTGATCTGTAGATGCAGTTCTCTCTCTGGACTGGGGCTGTTGAGCATCAAGCCTGCTGAAGCCTGAGCAACAATTTAGACTGTTTTTATTGCAAGTGTTGCATACACAAATATCTCGTTTCTCCTGATCTGACATGGAACAAAATGCACCAGGAGTAGAGGGAGGAACATCTGATATGGCATGAACCCCTGTGCATCACTGACAAAAGCACCGTCAGCATGGTGAGAAGCTTTTTGCCACTGGGCAGGCACAAGATGGCTCTCTCTTGTATAAAGATGGAGTTGCTGACAGTTAAAATGGTTACAAAACTCCCTTAGTCCAGCTTAATCAAAAGCTGTGCTCTGCCTCATGCACTGAGCAGATTCACCCATGTGAATTGTCCCATGGAAATGGAGGGGTCTGCTATGGCATGGAATTCTGTGCAACAAACTCAGGCTCAATAATTAGTCGTCACGCTTTGTGCTGAGAAAATATTTCCATGATGAATAACAAAGAGTAAGAATATTTGAATTTACAGGAAACATTAGCTGCTTGGCTGCCAGTAGCTGTAGGATGTGATCCAAAACTGTTTAATATCGGTGGCTTTCTGTTCACTTCAGTAGAGCTGATGTTCAGGGGCTTCATTATGATTAATCCTGATTAGTCAAGTTCAGCCTGTTGGCTGACAGAGGATGCCTCTCCCCTGTTGCAGGGTCACTGCGTACCATCTGGGCAGCAGAGTCTGCAGCCTGACTAGAGAAGACACAAGAACACATTAATGGAGCAAGCAGCCGTCACATTCGCTTGCTGTATGGGAAGGAGAATGACAGAGGGAGGGGAAAATAAAAAGCTTGGTGTAGAACACAAAAGAAATATCAAAAGAAGAAATGTAGAAGTGCTGATATTCCAATGTGATGTCTTCTAGTGCTTTGTCTGGGCAGCTGCTGGCCGCTTCTCACTGCATCAGTTTCTCCCAAACTCACTGCACGTGCCTTCAGACCTCTCGATGGTCTCAACAGAACAAGTTAACTGAGGGCCTAAGCAATCTGATGCTGATCTCATCAGCTTTAAAGGGCTTACAGAACTCTAAGTTAAGCATATGCCAATTGTTGTGCAAGTCTGGTGTCACGTTCTGTACACGAGCTTGGAAGGGCACAAGGAGTGTTTTGTCCTGACTAGACTTTGGGCAGAGACAGAATATGTTTGTGATTTATGTAGCCAATCTGGAATACACCACAGACACCAGATTAATCTCATCTGAAAACTTTGAATTAAATCTGTCTGTTGTGCTGGAGCCTCCCACTGCTCCCTACCTTCTTTTTGTTTCCTGGTAGATTTTCATTTGGGAAAGCTGCAGTGCAGGTGTCTTTTTGTGCTCTGCTGAATGCTATATGGGTGAAGTTTTTTGTATCATCATTAAGAAGGAAAGCCACAACATTATTATCCCCCCATGCATACTCCTTTAGGTTTCCTTGAATGAATTCCTATTAAGTTTTAACCTAAAAGCTTACTTTTCTTCTTATCCTTTCAGTTTCTTTGAATGCAATGACTCAGCAGCTACAGGATGAATTTGACAGCAGCGTGGAGAATGCAGAAGCTTGGATGAAGGCCATCCAAGAGAGACTGAGCATCAATGACAACACCAAGGGACCACGATCTGCCCTAGAAGCCAGGCTGAGAGAGACAGAGGTAAGGGAAGAATGTTGTGGTGGTTCAAAAGTGGCTGTCACTGCCAAAAGTTGCACTTATTGCTGTGAGGTCTGGAGTTTTCTGTTAGGAAGCTACCAGCTACACGTGGCTGCTGGAATATTGGTCCTGTGTGGATGGGATTGCCTCATTCTTATTTCTAAGTTTTCTATCTGCAGAATTGTTGCAGCCATTGTAGAAAAGAGGAGAAAAATTTGACTCCTGGTTTCCAAGATATTCTCATTGATTTGGAAGATGAGCAGCAGGTTTGGCAGGTTAAAGTGTTTTCATGTTCCTATGAGCATGCTCAAACCTGAAAAAGAGACTGAGTCGCAACTTGTAATTACCAGATACTGATTTGCCAAAGTCCAGTATATTACATGAGACAGTTGGGCTTCAGTGTTCTGTCCCCTTGAGGACTCTAGCACTGACAAAGAAAGATTGCAAGTGTCCTAGTAATGGCTGGTCTAGAGTAATCCACTTGTCCTTTTCCATAAGACATGTGATAAGAAGATTTACAGCTCCCCTTTCTAATCCATCTAATTAAAAGGTGAATGTTTTCATTTTTTGTTGTTCTGACTTAATCTCTTGTATAACTCTCTTGCAGAGATCCCATTGCAGATCGTGCTGCTGTCTTACTGTGATGTTGCATTCATTAACTTTGGTTTCATTAGATGTTATCTTGCTCTTATTATCTCAGAAAATGATACTCTTCTTTTTCTCCAACCTGTACCATTCATGATTAAAGGGAGTAGTGATATTTCTGTGATGAACACTGAAACTATTTTTATACTTGTATTACTATCAATTCTAACTAATCTGTCTTTAAATCAATCAAATGAATATTTTCCATTGCAATTTACCCAACAGTATGTAGTTTTGTGGCTACTGAAGTTTGGCCTGCTTCTTTTGAAAAAGTTTAACAGCTCAGAGAAAAAATTGCAGGTTTACATGGAAAGCAAGGTGCTTTGCATAATGGTGCTGCAGTGTCTTTTTTCTTCCCCAGCTGCGACTGGCTTCTGGCCTAATATAAAGACTGTTCATGGAGTGACTTGAATGTCAATCATAAGAACCTAAAGTATTTCCTCATGGACAATGGATTTATTTCTGTCCTTAACTAATTTTCATCTTTTCTTTTTGTCTGGGGAACTAATATATGCAGTCTCCAAAGGCAGTCAGAAAGTCCAGGAACTTGAATAAGGAGAGTGGTAGTTTGGCAAAGGGAGTGCAGCCATGGCAGAGATAAAAGTTTTAGAGATCTGTGGTGATTTCATATAGCTGAACTGAAGTATGTTGAATTTTGTGGGCTTTGGAGGAGATCTGTAACACACACAAAATCATGATAGAGAGATCTTCATTTTAGACTTTAAAAGTTCATCATTCTAAAGAGAAACAAGTGTCTGTTTTCTCTTTCTATTTGTACCTTACCCACCTCCTGTTCCCTCATCCTGCCTTCTTTGTCAGACTCCTCCCCTCCTCCCCTCGTGGTGTGCTCATCACCTTATCTATTGGCTGTTTTTAAATCCAGTCATAATTTTCAGTTTCTTTTTTCTGCATCTGGCTTGCAGGTTGTTTGTTTTTTTTTTTTCATGCTTCCTTCCTGTGGTTTATTTTCTGTTAATTTATTGATGAAAATGTCAGCCAATGATAGCAATCATTTAAACAGATCTGAAGAAGTAGAATGTCTGTACAACCACTTGACTTTTTCAATTTTATTTTATTTTCTTGACACATATCCTGTGGGCCTAATATTTCTGTAAGTAGTTGCCAGTTTTAAACCTCTCCATGTTTTCATTATAGAAAACTTTTCTTGCAACGGGAGAGGCTGCAGCAAGCCAGGAATTTGTGGAAGAACGGCAAGAAAAATTAATCTTATTAGATCAGAAGTTTGGATAAAGTGATGCTGAAAGCTACATCCAAATCTGGACATAGCTATTCTGTAATATTGTACAAAAATTGTGCTAATTTTCTGTCTTTGGGTAAAGAAAGTAAGTTTGCTTCAGATAACATAGCTTAACTGAGGTTCTTGGCTTTCTGATTTGTTCAAGATACATGTTTTCTTTAATTCATTACTTAGCAATTTAGGCTCAGAGTAAAATGTGGTAGCATACAAAATTCCACTAATTAGTTTTTCTTGGCTTGTTTTCTGTGACAACTTTTATTTGCAATAGGAGATCTTTAAATATGTTTCGTGACTTTGAAATTGAGATGTGGAGATGGCCTTTTTTTTTTTTATCTAAGAAAATGTTTTTCAACTGCTGTATGGTTTTCAGTTCAATTCAACCCTGTAGGATGGTTAAAAATAAGGTTTAATGGTTAAAATGTTTAATGATAAAGAACAAAGTCTAGATGGTTAAGGGGAAGTTCTTATTTTCCACTCAGGTGAAGCTTTGCAGCAGGGACTTAAGGATTCCGGGAGAAAACTAAGATTAAATTTCATCAGTTATGCTTGCTTCTTTTTCAAGTTTTCATTCTAATTTAATCTTTTTTTCACAGAAAATACGTGATCTGGAGCCAGAAGGCACGTTGAAAATGGACTTGATTCTCGCAAAGGCAGATGCTGCTCTTCACTGTATCAGTGAGGATAAGAAACACGAAGTACTGTCTAAGCTGAGACACATTAAAGCCTTGTGGGAAGAGACAGCCATTTACATTACTCACTGTCACAGGTAAGAAAAGCACAACACTGCTCTTTTTTGTCGAAGTATTTGTCTCATTTAGTGATTTTATGAAGTGTTTTCTGCCTGGCAGTATGGGAGATCTTAGGGAAGTGGAGTAGGACTGGGAAAGATGGTGGGACTTCATCTCGCTCCCCCGTCATAGCCAGCCCATCTATATAATCATAGAGTCACCAAGGCTGGAAAAGACCACTGAGATCATCTAGTGCAACTAAGTCCATCTCATGGGCTTGAATTATGAGTTTTACTAGGCAAAGGTACCTTTTACAGAATATTTCCTTCTCAGAGCAGGCAGAATCTGAGAAGTGAAATGTGACCTTCTATAATCAGTGCAGCTTAAAAATGCTGAGCTTTGTCCTTTTCCTTGAATAGCCTTTGAGCTTGTCAATCAATCTGCACTGATCCCATCACGATTTCACCTAACTCATCTCTCTTGCTTTCCCCAACAGCCGTATTGAGTGGGTCTGGCTGCACTGGAGTGAGTACCTGAAAGCTCAAGATGAGTTTTACATATGGATTCACAACATGAGGGTGACCTTGGAGCCTGACATTGAGTTGCAGCTTGGCTTAAAGGAGAAGCAGTGGCAGCTGAGCCATGCTCAGGTTCTGCTGAATGATGTCTTAAATCAGTCGGTCCTGCTGGAAACGCTGCTAGAGGAAGCTGCTTCCTTGTTCAACAGGATAGGTGACCCCAGTGTTGATGAGGATGCTCAGAAGAAAATGAAGGCGGAATATGAAAGCATCAGGGAAGAAGCTGAGGTAATAATGGAAGGTGTTTAGATTTCATTAGCACACCATATTGTTTACTCTCCGCGTTTCTTGAGTGATGGGGGTTCCCTGGTAGGACTGCAGAAAGAAAAAGAGCCAAGGGACCTCTGTTCTTTCAGCCAGCAGACTGTTTGCAAGTCTTTGTGTCTCAAGCTGTTAATTGGAATGCTCTCATACTGTACTTTATAGTATGTTGTAAAGTGACTGCAAGCTACTTGGCGTGATCTAGTGTGAATCATTTGTCATCTTTTGGTGCATCAGTGATCTTTGTGTAGTCAGGTGCAAAGTATCTATTCACATAGCCAAGCTTGCACAGTAATTGGAGGACGTCACATTGATTCAGATCCAGAGCTGCAGAACTGAGAAACACTGAGATAAGTCAGGTGCAGCCCAACACTGAACTCAGCTGGCCGGTTCCAGAATCTGAGGGATTTCCACTGGACACAGATACTAACTCATGCTTGCTGCTAATCTTCCAGTCTAGCCAGCTGTTAGATAGGCTCATGTAAGACATTCTAGTTTATCTTTCATTGCCAGTGATTTCCTTTGACCCTCCCTGCTCCCAGGTAAAGAAACTCAGGTAAAAATAAGATTGAACCTTGTGGCATGGCAAAGGGGCAGAGATTTGCATACAGGGAGGAAAATTCAGTTTCTTAGTAGCCTGTATCAGTAGAAATACACGAAGTATTTGAGAAGAGTACTCAAATGTTCAAGATATACACAGATACACAGAGCATATAGAGCTTCTTAAAATCTAATCTGTGTTTCATAGTGACTTCCAAGAATTCTGTATGCTGGAATTACCTAATACAAATACAATTTTCATTGTTTGTATTTGTATTAGGCTCTACTCTTTATCTCTGTCATAATGTTGCCTTACATTTATTCCCATGTCACATCTTAGCCCAGAGCTGAAGCAACATCTGCTATCCCACCTTGAGCACTGTTGTAACAATAGCTAACTTCAGGTCACACTGAGAGAGCAACTTTGGGACGCTCATGCCACTACTATGCTTGCTCTGCAAATACTTTTTCTGTTCAAAGAATTCAAAGCAAAACGAACTCCACAAAACAACAACAAAAAAACAGCTGTCAGCTTTTGTGAACATGGCATTCAGATATTTTTTAGTAATAAGAAAGTTAAAACTTCTAATGGTAAGTATCTTCAAAAACCAGAGAGAATTCAGAAACTACGTGCTGCAGAAATTGCAGAATTGTAGCAGATAGGCTGTAGAGCCACCACCAGACCAGCAACTCAACGCTGATGGTTTATTCTTAAAGTTTCTCTTCACGATTAAGCAACTGATTTTATAAATAATAATATTCCTTGGAATTTAAGTGTTCTGTATCTAGATTGCAATTTCTAATTCTCATTCAGTCCCTTCTAACCAACATTTTTTTCGTTTTAAAGCAGGAGACAGTCATTAGACATTTTAATAAGGCAGTTTTTTCAGACAAGTAATTTAAATAGTCGGGATCTGAATCTGACCTCTCTGAGACTGGTTTTATGCGGTGTAATTTCTCTGGCTGAGTTGGATATGTGCTGGTGTAAATGAGATCAGGAAGTGTCTCATAGTACTTAGGTAAAATATGTTTTTATGTCTCCAGCCAACTGAGGTGCCAGAAAAGCTTTCCTTTGGCACTGGCTACAAATACCACATTTCACAGAAAGATGAGGTGAGAGAATTCAGCCTAGAAATCTCTCTTTCAGGAGGTATGGAATAAAGAAGGGGGATTGAGAAGCCTTGGCTTTTGCAGCTGAAGTAAATGTAAAACTCATTAGGTAATGCAAAGGCTACAGGCACCATAGGACTCATATTGGAAGGCACAGTAGTAGTTAAAAAAAAAAAAAACCCTTCCACTTCTTCCAATGGCAGAGAGGAATGAATGAAAGAGACGCAGGAGTTGCAGGAGGTTTGCTTTGGCCCCATGAGTGATAAGAGGCTAGACGAAATCTGAATTGCAGATGCCAGCTGAATGCCTGAGCTGCCTGCTGGGGTGGGTTCCTGGTGTTTGCAGATTACACTTGTGTTGAAGAGCATTTTTAGAGACTGTGCAGTTGTCCAGCTCTGTCAGAAGGGCAAATGCTTGGATGCAGATTCTGAAATGTTTTTTGTGGTTTTTTTGACGTTGTTTCTGTGGTATGAGCAAACTTTTTTCTTTCCTTGTAGTACTAACACGTGCCCTTATTGTTTCCAAGTTTTAAAGAAATGTCAATTTCTGTTAATTACATCAGCAGGGGTATTTTTATATTTAGTGGTATTTCACAAACGCTTTCCCTCATCTGATAGCAAATAGCAGAGGCAAAATAGCAATATGCAGATGTAGAGGGTTGTGTGTTAAAGCATAAATTATTACTGGTGATGCTAAGAAAAGTTATGGTATATTATATGTGGATATTTAATCAAATTTATCAAATATGCCTGAGCACATTTATTTTAATTCAAGTTGTCTCTGTTAATTCAATAGGCGTTCGTAAAGCCAACCCTCTTGTGCCAGGTCTGAAAGTACCAGGAGAGGCTATGGGAGCTTTCTGCAGTCTGAGATGCCACAGAGGGATTTAAAGCAGGAACTTCCTTGATGTGCTTTAAATTGCCTTCCAGATGAGGCTGGTTTGCCTCTGCTGACTCTAAGTGAACTTTAGGGGAGAGTATTTCCTATGCCTCCGTCTACCTCTGTGACTACCTAGGGCTGGGCAGATCCTTCCCAGACACATTTCTTCCTCTGCAGCCCATACTGAACCAATTCTTCTTTTAGGGCCACAACCTTGCTGAATCTATCTCCTCACATTAACCAAGCACGTGGAGACTGAGTTTAACAATGTTCTATTCTCCAAACAGCTACCCTAGTAGAAGCAAGTGATACCGTTTTTCCCAACATTAAGAAAATTTCCCTGCCTAACCTCTTGGTGGGGGCAGCCAGTTCTTGCTGGCCTTATGCTTGACAGCTACCACAGTCTGTCCATGTACATGTAATCTCTCCCCTGACATAATGGATCAGGCAGGACTATTCAAGCTGCATGATGCTTTGTTTTGACTCAATAGACTATGCAAGGGTGGATCATTTCTACTTCCTTTTTAATGCTCTATATATTATCATAAAACCTTCGTGTTTAATAATAACTCAGCTTTGTTGTTCTCGTTTGCTCCCTTTGGAGCTTCTATCAGTGCAAGAAATTAGCCTAATTTCTGGAATCAAATAAACTTGGACTGATTGTTTTAGTTCAGTGCTTGAACCATTTACACCACTGTAAAGGTTGCATTCCCCAAATACCTAACTTGAGGTCAAAGTGCAAATTATTTTTAACCTTTGCAGATTTGAGAATCAAGGCAAGGGGGCATAGCAAATGAGTAAAGTGGTTTTTGTTGGATAAATCTTGGTTGGCCACAGAGGTCTCCAATCATACCTCTACTTTTGGTTTGCACAACTGAGCAGAGATAAGAACGTCAGTGTGGAAAAGAGACTGGCATGGTGCCACTGGAGGATGGTGGCTTTGTATTGCACCGCAGGGATAACCTGTCCCAAGGTGAAGGGCAAAGTCCCAGCTGCAGCACAAGGGAGGTCCTAGGCTCACTCACACAGAACAAACTCAATTTGTTTTAGTTACAGCATAGCCTTTCAAGAATGCTGCATGCACTAAGAGCATTCCACAAGGGGTTTTGTGATCTGCAAATTGAAAAACTTTTCAGTTACATTATTTCTAGGGATACCTTGAAGATGACAGTTAATTTCTTTACCACCTGTTTAAATAATAAAGATGGAAACAATATGTGCCTGTGGCACAGTTTCTCCTTTTTTCATTGTTATATCTAGGCAAAGTAAATCTGTTGTGTGCTCATCTTTATTTTTAATTCACACGAGGATCATTTCTGTTCTTTCTGTCCCCTGAAGTCCAAATCAGAAGTGGACTTCTGTCTCTTATCCTTTTCTAATGAGAGATTGAGAAATTTTGGAGAGGAGAGGTAGAAATTTGCCTGATAGGACCCTGCAGTTTGTCTCTCTGGGAACTAAACTACCCTTTTAGACCCTGCAGCACAACAGACACAAGTGCTTATGCAATTTTTTGTGCTGCTTCTTGTGGAAGCCAAGTGCTGTTGGGGCTCAAGGAAAGGGATTCTTGTTTGTACATTCTGGGTTATAGTATAAAGGAGAAAGGACAGTGCTTATCTGGCTCTCACTGCTTCTGATCTTTCCTGTTACAGAGCAGAGTGAAATTGCTTGAGAAGATAACTGAAGAGCACAAGAAGTACAGCGCTAACATCAACCAGTTTCAATCGTGGCTGAATGGTGTGACGAAAAGATTAAACTGCTGCATTGGAGAAGCAACCAAGTCTTCAGCAGAGGACAGACTAAAGGCAGTGAAGGTCCTTAATTGATACAATATTGGCAAAGAAGCAGGATTATGTGTTTTCTATGCCTGTATGCGTTTCTCAAACCACATAAGGGTGTGCTTGAGAAAAGAATTATACAACCAAAGTAAGGTGATGGTTGTTGTAATGTGGGTTATGGATAAAGAGTCATCACAGGTCTGAAAATTGCATACAAAGCTCTCTCAGTTTTACCAGGGGTTGCAGGATAGCCTACTTTGGGTTTTGGTTTTGATTGATTTTTTTGTGCTTTTTTTTCTTCTTAAAGCCTGCTCTTCCACCATTATGTGATTCTTGAGCATCTTGCCTTTTTAAACTTTCTAAAGGAATGGCGTTTGGTAAATACAATCCAAATAAAGCCTACAGGCTCACAAGTATTGAGCACCTGGAATGAGTGATTAAAATACCAGTTTTAAATCACAGAATCATAGAATCACCGAGGTTGGAAAAGACCTCTAAGATCATCCAGTCCAACTGCCCACTTATCACCAATATTTCCCACTAAGCCATGTCCCTCAGCACTAAACTGTTTTCAAACAGTTTATAATATTTTGGTACCATGTCTTAAGCTGTTCAGCTTTAAATCTCATAGATCTATTTATTGGTACGTTTCACTGCCTGAAGCTCCAGGGACTTCAGGTGATAAGCATTTCTGAATATCAAGCCAATATTTTCAAAATCACAGCAGTTAGTATTATACAGAAGGCTGTCGAATGACTCTGGCTTCTTTTGAAAGAAAGCCATTTGAAAAAAAGCATATCAAACTTGAAGTAAGAAGTGAAAAAGAATATATGTACAACTAGGAGAGGTGATCTTATTTTCTGTCTGCTTTCACCTTTTCCCCAGTTTCCCATTCCCACAACTAATATTTATGTAACTTCTTTCTGCAGGAAATTGCCAAAAACATTAGGAATGGTGCAAAGAAATTGAAGCATCTTGAAAATCAATGCGCAGATGTGATTCAAAATACCTCCCCACTGGGAGCTGAGAGATTGAAGGACGAACTCGATGAGCTGAGAAAAGCCTTGGAGAAGTTGAAACTGCTGAGCAATGAGGAGGAGCAGAGATTGCTCAAGATTCAACAGTCAGAAAGTGCCTACAAGTCCCAAGCCAAACAATTAGAAGCAGATATCCAGGAATTCAGAAAAGGTCTACAGAAACTAGAAAATGATTTGGACCCCGGGGAAAGAGAAAAGACTGAAGATGAGTTTGTAGCTCAGTGGAGAAAATGCAATGTAAGTTGTTGCCCTTCATATACCAAAAAAAAAAAAAAAAAAGAAAAGATTTAAGTGTAGTCATAGATTGAACACACACAGCCACATTTAGCAGATATCTGGCCCATTGTTTAAAGGTGAAAAGGAAAGAGTAGTAGTCATGTATATGAAACAGAAATGTAAATAGCAACAATGAAGACAATTATTTTAACCTTTTCTTGTTCTGCGCAGTAAGGAGGTAGCTAGAGAATGATTTGGAATTTATCTTGGATTCAGAGGAACCATATTCAGAAAGAGAAAAGTAGAGAGCAAACAACATAATTTTCTGCACTTATAATGGAGCAAGAAAAACAATGTCTTAGTGTATGTACAAACATATATTCATCTACATACTATTGCATTTATAGAAAGACACATACTTTGAGAGTATTTTGTAAGACTATCTCTACGTTATAGCCTTCCTCTCCTACCATCAAACACATATTTGTTCTTACAGAAGAATTCCTAAGATTGTAATAATTCAGTATTTACAGTAAAATCAATCTGCTGGAAAGTTTTTCACACATAAAGTAAGTAAGAGTCTTTGTCACCCATTTCCTCCTGAGTGTTGTTTTTGCATTTATTATCGCTGTTCAAAATACTTTTCATTGCTATTTGTGTGTCTGGAACTCAGCAAGACTAGCTGGCAAAATTATGTGCAAAAAAATCCACAAAATACAGACTGATTCAATTGTGTAACATTACAATGGTTTTTGCTTGTTTTGTTAGCTTACATCAGCACAAAATTAATATTCCATACATAGGTGTTTCAGAAGATTTGTTCCTGCGTACAAAAGTGGTTAAGACATGAATCTCATTATAAATTGCAATCACTGAACTGAAACTGGGACTAGCTGTGATTCACTGAGTTCAAACTGTAAACCCCACAGATCAGAAGCAGAGGGTAGTCAGTGTGAGAAAAGCAGAGAGCACCTGCATGAAGAGAACAGTTCCTGAGAATATATTCTACTTTATCAAAGTCCATATTTAGCCAGGAAAAAAGGCATCAGAAGGGGGACTTGGAGTTAACAGTGTGAATACCTTGCGATGGCCTTACCATCATTTCACGTGCCAGACACTACATATGGTGTGACCTGTTTGTTCTTTTTATGATTAAGGCAACAAGAGCAGTTCTGGCTGCAGAAGAGTCGAAAGTTGAGAGGCTGAAGGCTCAGCTGAAGGAACTGCTGCGCTTTTCTCAGGATGTGCAGCCACACGCTGACAGCGTCATCTCTGCAATACGGGAATATCAAAGGTAGTGGGAAGTCTATAAGGGGGCTGGGGTGGGGTGGAAATATCATAGACTTTGAAGGGATTGACAGACACCTAAGAAGAAAGCAATAATCCATTTGATTCTAGGTGGCAGGTAGAAAAAAAGTGTTTTTTCTTTTATGACATCCACCTTCACAATTCAATAAACCTGTGATGTTAGCTGTTTGCTAGGAGTTGTAGGCTGCTGGCCATTTTCAAGCAGTAATCATGCATCATTAATGTTGTGCATGGTTTTAAGAAAATTAGATTGTTGGCAGCTAATTTGATTTTCTTAGCCTTATATAATAATAATTTATGTACTTTTTTTGCTTTTCATGACAGCAACTAGAAAATCAGGGCAGGAGCTGTAGTAGTAAATGGTTCGGAAGAATTATGCCCCTTCCTTATTGAGTCTGCTGTGATGACTCATCAGCCTTAGCAATTACTTGGCAGAGCTTATTCCTCTCTCCTGACTGCATGCATGCATGATTCCTGTTTTCAACTTGCCTTAGTTTGGAAACTCTGAGAGTTTAGCCTCTCCCTAGACTTCAGTGTTTCCGTTTCCAGGCTGTCTGGAATCAGGAAGTAAAGGAGCTGGCAGCAAATTTTGCAAATTAGAAGAAAGGATCATTTTTTAGAGGAAAAAGAAAGGTCAGTTCTTTTTATTATATCCAAGCTTACTTTTCTCTATCCAGTGCACAGTATGCTGCCTAACTGGGAGGGTTATGGGTCATTATGGAAAAGGATTTCAGTTTAAAAACTAGTAAGTAGACGGTGTTGAAAGAGAAGCAGAAAAAGCAGGAGAACTTGCCTCTGAGCGGAAAATGGCAGCTGCACTTTTGCCAGCTTCTCCCCAGAGCTTCTTCACAAAGTCTAGCAGTGTCACGCTGAGCCTGGCAGGGGCAGCAGAGCAAATGGCAAAGGACATGTGCTGTCAGTACTTTACATTCGTGGAGCTGCAAACTTGTCTTTGCTTAGCTATGTAATGTCCCAGTGACTCAGGTAAGATTATTCTTGCTGCTTTTATAGACAGACAGAACTAATCATGTTTCCCTTGGAAGTCTGTGGCATTGCTCTTGCCTGCTTATCCTGTGAATTTTCAGGAGGCTGTTCCCATACGAATATACAATTCAGGCTGCACTCTGCCATATCAAATAGGATTCGGCAAACTGGGAAGTCAGGAAAGCTCAGAAAGACAGGAGACAGCTGCTTGGGGTGTGTCCCTGCTGGGCCTTGTTTCTCAGCTGCGGTTTGGATAAGCCTTTAGAAGGGACGCCTGCATACTTAATGAATGTGTGCTGATGTAGATTTATGTAGATATACACTCACATAGTTATGTGCATAAATATATATAAAAGATTTAGTTTAAAAACTTAGAAAGTTTTTTAGAATCATACACACACACATGCACACATATGTATAAACGTATATAAATACAAGAAATTCAGCAAACGTAATTTGGCAAAAATTTAAAAAATCTAGATCGGAGGAGAAAAAATTTTTTTTTCCTTTCTTTTATAGGTAACTTAGTGTGATCAAATATATATTTTATTTATTTACTTATTTGGAAGTAAAATACTACAGATAACCATGGTTAAATTAACCTTGGCTTGTTTTTCCTAAAACTCAATGAGACTGCTCTGATAATTCTATTTGTAAATCACACTGATGACAGCAGCCAAGAAAAATGACACAGGAAAGGAAATGGCTGCCTGCTAAAAACAGAGTAGCTCCTGATACATGGTTGCACGAGAGGAAAACATGTCTTAGGGCGCCTAAACAAAGTTTTGTCAGATGTCTCTGACAGACAGAACAGCTGTGAGTATGCAAGACCAGGCTCTGATAGTAAAAGACTGAGGCTTTTGTGTTGGATGTGGTTTACACACTAGTATTGTGTTAATTCATGGTCTGATGAATAGGATATTTGGAGTTGGTTTTCCTTGTAATTCTTTTCTCAGCTGCCACTTTATCCTTGCAGTGTTAAAGGAAAGACATCTAAAATGAGCACTGATACAGAAACTCAACTGAGCAGACTTTTCCAAAATCCCCTGCAAAGTTTTGGACAATGGAAGCTAACTGTCCAGATGCTCCTGGAGACTCCAGAGCCAGCGTTGGATCAGATTGAGGTAGCAAACCTTTTACTAAGCTCAGAAACTGATACTTGGTTTGCATTTGCCCAAGCAACACCAGTAACTGACTGCATACAGCTGCCAAAAGCAACAGCTGGAAGGCCCTTTCCACTATAATATGAAACTCCACTGCACAGAGTTCAACTCTAGCTGTAGCAGAACATCTTATTTTGTGCCATTCCTTTGGTTAACTGGAGTCATCAACTGAATAGTCTGAATGAGCTATATGTCTTTAACAGTGGTGATAATGCTGTTTATCTTTGGCTCAAATTCCCTTTGATGGAAATTCTGTGGATTCTGTTAATAAGACTGTAGAAATATAGTTGTGGGGTGATTTCTGCATGCGTCCAGGAAGGCAGTTGTTATTTTGTCACCCCTTTAATCTCCAGAATAAATGTGTCTGTGAACAGGGATGGAGTTTGTCCTTGGGATGAGCATTCAAGCTGTCCTTTCTGTTGGTTGTTTAGGCCTCTGCACAGACAACTCTTTCCATAGTACAGCTTTCCTCTATTTCTGTTCACAAAATGGATGCAGCCCTGATGCTTCTAACATTGTCAGGAAGACTTTTCCTTTAACTGGGCACTGTCCAGGTACCTTTTGTTACCCCTTGTCAGCCCAGCATGCTGTTCTTACCTGAGTTTGTCATACTGCTTTGGTCGTGTGACTTGTGTGAGAATAATACAGTTATGTGATTATTATTATTATTACTTGGTTATGATTTTACAGGAAGAATATATATTTTTTCCTTTAGGGTGCTCTAGCTGAAAGTTCACAGTTCAAAGAAAAGCTGATGACATTACAGCTGAAGAAAGATTTGCTAAACAATATCCTTGGAGAGGACAAAGCAAAATCCTTCCTGGAAGAAGTAGCTGAAGCTTCAAAGGAGAGAGAAATTCTGCACAAAAGTTTACTGCAAAGAAAAAGCAAACTCCAAGTGAGCTTCAAAGCCCATATACAGACTTAACCTGTAACAAAGATGACAGTTAATCTTTTTCTAAGTCAGTTTCATAGAATCAAATTTAGCATTAACCAGTTGTGCTCAATTTGTTTTCCTAGGCTGATGAAATACACATATAAATTTATAGCCTGTTGTGTGTGGTGCGGCTTAGTATTTGCTCTGAGTACTGGATAGACTAAAAATAAAGCCAAGGGAGTTTATGTTGAATATTTTTTTCTTCTTTCCCTACCTAGAATTTGATACTGCAGCATAAGGACTTTGATGCTGCTTTTGAACCTTTGCAGAAGAAATTATTTGCCATCAAAGCCAAATTAGACTTGGAGAATGAACCACAGCCTAACCTTTTGGGTAAAAAGACACAACTCCAGAGACTCCAGGTACATTACAATAGTGATTGGTCATGATATTGCATTGCTTCAGCAAAGGATTCAATATGCATTAGAGCCTGCTGAAGTCATGCAGTGAACCTAGATAGCTGGGAAAAAGGGAGAGAAGAGCAAAACAGGAAGAGAGAGAGGATGTGACTCTTATAGCCATAGTGAGTAGTTGGGGTGATTCTGATATGGTATGCCATTTCACCGTTGGTGCAAAGATGTCAGTATTTACCTGGTTGTATTGTGGCTCCTCTAGCAGCTTCTCAGCAGCTTGTTTTCTTTGTTATGTATGACATGTAAGAACATCCCGCCATTGCTTTCAGAACCATTCACTTCTAGGCATTGAGTAATTAATATTCTTAATGGCAAAGATTGTTCTTTTTTTTAATAATGCCCTCACACTCTCAACTGGAAATGCCTTCAGCGAAAGTCTTGTAAAGGGCCTTGCCATGTCTTGGACACTACTCATATGCATTTTTTTCCACTGCAGATGATCCAAGATGACTTGGCAGAGATTGCAATTCAAATGGAAGAGGTAGAGAAGCTTGTTCAGTCAAATGCAACACATAGACATGAAATGAACCAACTTCTGTCTGACATTCAGGCCCTGAAGAGATCACTGGAGGTAACATAAGAGTTCTTAGTTGCCTGAGAAGTTACCAGTTACCACTGTTTAAAAGTAAAGTAAAATAATTATTTGAGCATATGAGATTATATACTATGAATGACAGATCTTTTCATTTCAGGTGAAGAAGGTACTGATTTAGGGGGTTGGACACCATGATCTCTATAGGTCCTTCCAACCCCTACAATTCTGTGATTCTTATAACTTTGATAGCTCTTCCAGGATTCTCTGGTTATTTGTAGTATGCTGTCCCTTTGAGATGGGTGTTCTTCCACGCAGATTGTTGGGTGTTTTGTTTGTTTGTTTTTAGCTGTATGAATTATTTATGGAGTGGACCTGTTATTTCTGAGAAAAAGACTGCATAGTTACATGATTACACATTACCTTAGACTTGTTCACAGATTCCTGGACTGTGCAAAAGTACCAAACCGTTTGTTCTTGTATAGCTTTGCGATTCTTGTTAACAAGAGAAAAGTGTTGCAATTTTGTAAGTATTAGTTTTGACCTGAGACTTTCTATAGCTTGTAAACATAGCTATAAAATGACCTTCCAAAACAGACTCAGAGGAAGAGCTTATAAAATGGTCTTGGTTTTGCCGGTCACCATGAGGTTACATGTAATAAAGTGTTAATAGACTCTGTGGAATTCTAGTTTCAATCTCAATAATCTCATTCATCACTGAACTGGAATTTTGCAAAAAAAATAAAATTGTCACACTTCTGATTCAGAGAGTATAGGATGTCTTTAGTATTTACAAGGGTGTGAAAAAATCGTCATTTTTTTGTTTCAGCTGAAACGGAAGGTAACTATTCTCATGCTTAATGCCCCCCCATGTGGTTAAATTCAGGCCTGCAAGGGTCTATAGGTGTCTTCTATGCCATGGATGCTAAAAGATAAAGCTTTTTGTATCTCATTAGCAGCTACATTTTTATTTTCTACCCATGAGATTTTGTGTCAGTAGTCACAGTGTAAGATTCAGTAATTAAAGTGCTTATCTGTGTTTGGCTGCTGACATTTTTATCATTTTTAGATTATGATACAGCAGTCTGAAGAGCATGTTCAGAAGCACTGGGCATTCAATGACAAACTGTCTGACCTCCAGCAGTGGATCACTGCAACCACTGAGAAGATTGGCTCCTACCAGGATGGTGATGTGAAGCAGAGCAACGAGAGCAGGGTGGCAGACCTTGAGGTGAGAATAACATCTTAATGCAATATGTTAATTATTCACTTTGCAGCATTTAGACCTTAAGAGAGGGTTTTATAGCAAGGGGCTCCAGACTGAGGAGAATGGTAAGAGTTTGTTCCTCCTGAGGCAGCTTTTGTTTGCTGCTGCCTTCCTGCTTTGCCACATGCTGTAGTATATGGAACTAGGTAAAAAACAACAGTGAGAAAAGAGCTAAGAACTGTTGAAATGGGAAAGTGTCATCAAGCCACAAGTTTTAAAATGATAAACTATCTTTATTGTTGCATACATACAAGCAGATTGAACATTACTCTGTTAGCTAACTTTATGCTGTATTTGAAGTAAACTCTACCACAGCTTCTGGCTTTTTCCTATTCAGCAGTATTTTGCAGGCTAGGTTCACTCTGGTAGGTTATTTCAGCTGGCAGCTTTTGCTTTCATATGGGAAACCAAGGTATCTCTCAGGAATGCCACAGATGAGATGCACCGACAGCTTAGGTCCTTTAAGTTTTGCCATCTACTCTTTGATATATGTTGGCTCTTTGCAAGAATCCACAGCATATTTTTTTTCTCGCTAGGTATTTTCTAGCTAGTGCCAACAGAAGCAGCATAGCCTGGACTGAACATGGCCTTCAGTCTGACATAGCCTCTGCTTTACCCAGGATACCTAGAAGTAACTGTAAGGACTGTACGTTTCAGAGATGGCTAGCTGAGTTTCCAGATAAGGAGATCCAGCTGCACCTTGTGGAAGCTCATGGCCAGCTGGTCATGGAGAATTCTTCCCCAGAAGAGACTGCCCATGTTCAGGCAAATCTGGATCAGCTGAAGGAGTCTTGGAGATCACTGAAAGAACTGGCAACTGGGTAAGTGTTCATATATGTCTTTTTTCGATGTTCACTGTACCCACTAATGGAAAAAAAAAAAAGAAAAAAAAGAAAAAACAAATGCTTCAATGAAAATATTAGAAATATTAGAACTAAAGAACTATTGCTGCTTTGAAGAACTCCTGTCTTGAATTTTTAAATTTTTATTCTAGTTAAAAATATATTGGAATTAAAAATAGCAGTAATAAGTGACAATAGTGCTATTTCATTAGAGGTGTCCCCGATAGTCTTGATCAAAATGTGGGCATCTCACCATCAGGTGTCTCACTGTACTGATGTCTATGATTTTGTGTTTTACAGTCTTCTCAAAAGGTGGCAGTTAAACAGACCAATGGCTGATAAGAAGAAAATAGCATTTGTGGATAGCAGACACGTGTCTGGATCAGTCCATTGTTTAGATCTCAACCATAAGCAGGTGAGGGAGGAACTTTGAGTCTGACTTTATCATCAGCTTCACAAGAACAATTTTATTGGCCTCATTTGATACTATGAGTTATGTGCTTGAAGATAAAGATCTTGCAGTTAGGTCTTCAGAAGAAATATCTGACTTAACAGTAATGGCTTGTTATTTGTTGCTGTTGTCCTGTAATCTAGGAGAAGACAGCAGAAGGGCAAAGAGTAAGCAGCCGCGTTAAGCTCCAGCTTGACTTTGAAGAGTGGTTGCAAGGAGAAAACACCAAACTCTCCAAAATTCTTGCTGTGAATTTGTCTTCCACAGAGGAAATCAAGACACGCCACAAAGAACTGGAGGTTAGTTTTCCATAGGTGAAGAGAGAGACAAAGATTGCAATAAGTGCAGATTCTTTCAGAATCAAAAAATAAAAGCAAAAAAAACTTCTTATATTCTCTGTGTTAGGAGACTCCAGAGCTAATGAGGAACTAGTAAGCTTAGGAAATTAGGACAAGTATTTCACTCCTACTAAGAAACATCTGCCACAGTCAAAGTGGTAGAAGTGAAAGAAGCAGCATGGCCTGTAGGTGCTGGACTGGACAGTTTCAGCACACTATATCAAATATATTTGTTAAGGTGATTAAAATATCTACTTGCTATTTGGAATCACTGTTTTGGTTTCATTTGAATGCCATAACAATGGATGCTGTAAGAAATGAAGCAAACAAAAATATCCAAAGCTACAGAGGTTCTACAGATGAGTGGACCATTTCAGGCCAAAAGAGCAACTAACCCTGAATATCCAATACTTTTATTTAATACAACTGTTCATTTAAATGGTAGCTTTTAAAAAAATGAAACCCTCCTGAATTCCGAGTTGCTAGTGACCTTGCTTTGGCTGCAGGAGCTGCAGGCTCGTGTGCCTGATGGTCAGCGTCGCTTTGAGGACCTTCTTCGTTTTCATCCTGTCACTGGAAATTCTGAAGATCTGGAAGACCTGCGTTACCGTTGGATGCTTTACAAATCTAAACTGAAAGAATCCATGAGTTCGCCGGTAGGTGACAGCACTCAATTTCCAGTTGCTGATCTCTGCCATTGCTCTTTTAGGTTGCTTCAAATTGCTAGTCTTAATTCAGCAATACATTTATATGTGCTTAATTGAAACCTCACTTAGTAAACAAAATTAAAGACAGAGCAAATTAAACTATATCGTTATGACTATAAGCACAAATCTCCTTGTATTAAAATAAAAGATATGCGCTATTTTCTCCCTTTATAAACAATGCTCAGAGTGTTTCTCTGCAGGGTATTTTAATATGTGAACCAAATGAGTAAATAATGTATCTAATGATATACTAAGGATGGCAGAATTCATCTCCATGTACAAAATATTCCAGGCCATGCTAAAGTTATTTCTGTGTTCTTAGCATAAACTTATGTAATTATTAATTACAATTTTTCAAGTACTTATGTTAATTGTTCAAAATACCTTAACTGTAGGACCAGACTTTTCAGTTATGCATTTGGCACTTTCTATATAGAACTAAGGAATCAGAAGTTGAGCACCTAAAGTTTGAAACCCTAGAAAATTTTCTGCTTTAGGAAACCTTGAAAACCAAAGCTTACTTAAAACACAAATTCTTCAAAGGGTTCAGAAGGTAAACATAACCTCTGCTAATAAAGAGCATCTTTTTAAATTTTGTTTTCCACTGATTGTAATAATGTTTTATCAAAACCTTGTGTAAGCATAAATGTAGTCAATAGGTGTCAGTAAAATCAAGGCTATTGCTAAAATTCTTCATCTGATTCAAATAGCTGAGAGCCTGAAAACATTTTAAATTTCTGTCTGATGTGTGTTAAAAAGCTCATTAAAAATATATCACCTGCTAGTTCACTCTATCCAGATGACCATGAATTTAAAGAAACATCCCTTATGAGGTGAATACTCATTTATAGGTTCCACTGGGATCTTAAATTCATGCTTTTTTCACCTTTTTTTTTCTTTAACAGATTACTGGATCTTCAGAAAAACCAGACAGATTCAGAAAGGTATGAAATTTTCCTGTCATTAAGCTAAAAAATATTTTATCCAACATTTCACAGATAATTATTTGGAATTAGACTTTTTCAAGATTCTTGAGATCATTCTATAATTAAGATCCTTTCTTTTCTCCTTTATTATTTTTAAAAGTTTTTGCTCTAGAGCTATATCCCTGAAAGATGAATATCCATATGCTATGCTATTTGAACTTAATTCATTTTTCTAAGGAGGCTAAGGAAAGGTTGAAATCTCTCTCAAAAGAATTTAGAGACCAAGTTCCTATTAAAAAAACCTTGAAAATATGCCTTCTGATTCCTTTAGAAACTTCTGGAAAATTGCTTTGGATCGTTCAGCCCATTCTTTTACTAATGCAGAAAAACAGAGAAAGTAGAGATTTACTTAATGTTATTAGACTAAATCCTTGCTATAAGAAGCAGAATTTCTCCTGTGAAGGAGTTTCTTTTGGAAACGATGACATAAGAAACAGAAGCAGTAGCCTAAAAGATAAGGACAAGCTTAAAGAAAACAAAATACTGCCAGCTTCTTATTTAATCCAAGAAGCTTTAATGATGCCTTTTTCATGAAGTCAGGGTTTGCTTTGTTTACAGACAGTTAGCTTCTACTTTCACTATTATTTCCCTTTCCTCCCATTTTCACAAGGAAAGAAGGTTCTATTTGTTCAATAGAACATAAATTGTATAAACAACATTTTGCATGAATATGATCACATAGTCATCTCAAGTCAAGCCCTCCATTTCTTCAGTTGCAAAAAATATCTCTTTAGAATGAGACCAATATTTGAAGGGTACAATACAGTGCACTTTTAGTATGGTCAGAAGTTAAAACTTCCTCTTTCAGATGAGATATTTCTCTGGTGCTCAAATGGCATAGCATCTCCCATATTTTTCCCCAATGAAGTACTGATCTATCCATGGTAGATCACACACCTCCTGCGTAGTTTTGGCCACGTTTGGCTCATAGAGTTTCCATTCTTGCCTGTCTGACTCAGCATAAATTGTTCAGTATTGGTAAAATGAAAAGAGTATAGAATTTATCTGGTTGGAAAAAATCCAAAGTTTTAATTACCTGGTGCAGTGGCAGCCAAACATATAGCAGAGCTGCCTTCTGCTAGAGGAGGCCTAAAGGAATGGTTCTGAAGGCTGACTGTGGAATTCAGTTGGATAGAGTGGGGGAAAAAAGTTGAAAAAAAAAAAAAAGTGTGTGTGTATGTATGTATGTATATATATATGTATATATGTATACATAAAATCTTGAAGCATCACCTTGAGACATCTTCACTGAACAATTAGATATCAATTTTTAATTCATCCATCTCTCATGACTCAGGGTATGTGGCATTTATTCCTCAACTTCTCCAAGAGACTGAAATCTTCTGTTAATCTTCAAGGAAACTGCAATAATGTAATGGCGGGCAGCAAACATTTGTCAATTAGGTCTATAGCAAAAGCGCAGAAAAGCATTCTGTGTGTTTTTGATAGCTACTGAATACAAACAAAGAGAACAGTTTGGAGTGGGAAGAACTGAAATACTTCATATGAAGAAAGGAAATGGTTTCCATTCCACCAACAAGTTATTTGCAGTTTCCTCACAGCCAGTACAGATGTCAAAACCTACACCTTGCTCACTGAAGTGAGATTCTGCCTACTTCAGAATTTTCAGTCTCTATGTATACTGTGTCTATAGTCAGAATTCAAGTACATACTCGCAACATAAGTGAGGTATCTTTTTTTCATTCATGCTGAGGCTTTTATCGGGATGTGAGCATAACTTGGTTGAGCAACACTTGAAATGGAAAACAAGGTTGACCCAGTGTGGATGCACTGCTGTTCAGGCTGAGAGGAAAAGCAAACCAACTATAGAATTAGAATCTGTGAAGTTTATTTTAAATTCAGATTCAACACTTAATGTGTAGCTAGAAATGAAAGAAAGATTAGACAAAACATTTTTGTATGTTTTGAATATCATTTCAAAACCCTGGTGAAAAAAACACTCAGAATGGCTGATCTTGGGAGTTCATTCCTGCAGAAAGTACCCATGGTTGGGGCAGCATCACTGTACGAGCTACATCCAGTGGTTTGCATGCAGTGGGAGGTTTGTGGATCCCTGCTTGGGGATCAGGTTACCTGTAACTTCTTAGCTCCCTCCTGTTTCTGGGCCGCACAGAATCTGCAGAGGTGGCAAATTTTTAGGCATTTTGGTCTGATCTCTGCTTCTGCAACATGAGATCCCTAGTGGCTCTGCTTTCTCTCATGTTTGAATCATAAATATATTGCAGCCACAGCAGATCAACCTGGAAAATGGGAGAACGCAGCTGCAGGCAGTCTCAATCCATTGCATTCTGTTATTATTCCATTTCTAGCCTGCAATTCTCAGTGTTGGCCAGAATAGAATCTACTCCACATTTATTAATATGCTTCATTCTGATTAATCCTTCACTGAGGACATGCCTTAAGTCACTGGTGCCATTAGGAACATTATGGGGCTAATGATTCTGAGGTGAGCAGCTTCTTGTTGATTAACAAAAAACAGTTGCAGGAAATTGCACTGGCTACAGTGAATTTTTAGCAGGTGCCAGTGACGGGGCAATGTTGATGGATATTTCTGCAGGGCACCTAGCACATTCAAGAATGCACTTGAGCAAGAGCTCAGTAATAAATATGATAAAAGTTACATTCTAAAACTGGTTCCCAGCTAACTATAAATACTCCATGAGCATTCTTAGCATAAATAGGAAGTCAGAAGCTCATTATTTATAGTCTAAGTAGCACTGTTTGGTTTATTTTCTCAAGTGCTCAGACAATTACACTTCCTTGCTATACAAATAATTCTGGCTTTATTGTTTGTACAAACAAAATAATTAGCATTCATTACATCAGTGGTCAGCTAATTGCTTCTTTTGAGATTCTGCTAAGAATAATCTCCTATAACACGGGGACAGGAGGAGCGTGTAATTTAATCTTATTTAGAAACATAATTGATCTGGAGTCAATCACATTACAGCAGCCATTCAGGAAATCTCTAGTGCAGGAGTTGCCACAACTTGCCATGAAGAAAGCAGTTCTGCTTTGTCCAAGCACAGAGGTGACAAGAATTCTTCAAGTCAGAAAGCTATATTACAGAATGCACAACGTATTTGTGCTAGTGGTGCATTTATGCTGAAACGTGTGGCCCATTTATTTTCCTGAAATCCTGCTGGTGTATCACACAGGGACTTTTCATATGTCTCTTACCTGATTCTGCCACTTCTGTGTTTTGATGATGCTCTGCCTCTAAAGCAATGCTCTTGCAAGACGGAGAAATATCTTGCTTCTCAGGATATGTTGTCCTACTGCTGTTAACTTCTCAGATATACTGATTAAGGGCATCCGGTTTACTAGCTTGCAGTGGCTCTTCTGAGTGAAGTGGTAGAGCATTGCTTTTAAATACAAAGTGTGTTTGGTTACATTATATTTCTTACGAGTGTATTTAAAACTAGTGACGTGTGTTTTCATTTGTTCATATTTTCCTTCATTATTTGTTTGACACAAATCATTTATTCAACTACTTCTATTGAACCACTGCTCACCATTTTCTAACATCTTTATATGTCAAAACTCTGACACTATATATGTATTACATAGACACATTTCATTGCCAACAAATGTATCATATAGGTTAGTAATCACTAAGAATCAGTGTTATTGAGCAAAATGGGAGTAACTTGCCATAAAAACTTTAAATTGAGTACCTGAAGTGTCTTGTTAACTGATTTTAAAAACAGTTACCTTAGCTGAGATTTTTAACAGCAAGTTAAAAGCCTTTATTTAAATATCTTTTAAATATCATTGTTCTACAATACATTTTTATCAGGGATTGAAATCAAAGTAATGATACTGACTGGATTTCCAGAGTACATATTTGAATAGTACTGATTTTAAAACTTCTTACTCTGTTCTGAAACTTTTCCAAATACTTCATTTATGATGTTTAAGGGGGAAAACGTAACTCACTCCATTGCTGTTGTTTGTGAAGAAACCCTTCAAAATTACTCCTCTGGCAGTTTGCCCTTCCATATATTATATTATGTATTCTTATAACATTGAACTAAGAACGTTTTAGTGACCTATCCTACTTTCTGCCTTACCAGTGTTCCACAGTGCTTTCTAATTTTTTTCCCACATCAAGCACCTTATGGATAAAGAGAAATCAGTTTCCACTTCAGTTCATGTGCAGAAGGTGGGAAAAAATGGGACTACTTGTGTTTGCCTGGAAAAATTACAGAAATGAGTGCTGTTTTAAAGGATCAGGCAGTAGCTCTTGTGCTGTGGCATGCTTATCCTAAAAGCATGTCATGTTGTTTATGCACGCAGAAGCTAACCTTTATAAATCCGTTTGTGTCACAGTAGCATATGGCACAGTACTTAGTTTTAAGAGACTTTGCAGCAGAAAATCTGAAATATCCGCCATATGTGGCTTCTGTAACCTCACATACAAACTGCTGGCTTTTCCATGTTTTCCATTTCTTTTAAATCAGCCCTTCATCAAAGATTCTAATTCATCATCTGGCTGTGTTGAGGTACTCCAGGATCTCCCTAAGGGAGAAAACAAAGCTTGCAATTTGCCTGTACACTTACTTATGTATATACATTTATTCTTTTTAAAATTTAAAAGAACATTAAGGTTGCAAAGTCAAGCAATCTGAAGATAGAAAATGTCAGGGCTAATATTGCTTGTGAGGCCTCAGTTAACCTTCTTTCAGCACATAGATTCTTGTACCTCTCTATTAGATGGAGAAAGATAAGTGCAGGACTCAGCCATCTTCACTTATTCCTCACTGCTGGTTACCTAACCTGTGCAGCATTTGCATTAAGGCAAGTATGGTTCTGAACTGAGTGGCTCATTTTCCTTTTGCAGAGACCAGAAAACCTCTAATCAATGGTATCCAACTCTTAGTTTCTGCTGTGGTGTATGGGAATGAGCCACTGCTTTGTCTCAGAGCATGCTGGTT